TTTTATTTTCAGTGTGTTCGCTAGGTCGCTACCACTGCACCGCTGAACTCTGGAGATGCCTCAGCACACCGTTGCTCTCAGACGAACACAGAGAAGCTCCACTCGCTTTATTTATATGGCCACGGAACACTGTAACCTTCCACACGAAATAGTTCCAAACAAGTAACAATCGCGTCAGTTTCAGCTTGAGTCGAGCTGTGGACAATGTTGACAGGCTTGCATGCAGTAGCCATACATTTAGCTATGGCTTCAGCAAATTTGTTCTTCGTCGTGTTATCCATTTTCTTCACTTTGAAATTATCCATAGCTGTCTGTCTGAGACGAGGGGGCGGAGTACTCACGTCAGCTGTGTGCTTGGCCATTCAGTGGTATTTCAGACTCGACGTGCTATGATGATAGCTCAGTTTACGACTGCAAAACATACAGGTAACTTTGGTCTTGTCAGTGGAACCATCTGGCAACTTTTTAAAAGTAAACTTTCCATTCATATACTCTTAAAGTATCCGTTTTTGGTGTCTCGCGCTGCCGTGTCTGGCAAAACAAACTTGCGTGGACTTGTGCAGCGCGCTTGTTGTCTCTAATATATATATATACTTTTTTTTTCATACATCATTTTTAAAAACAAATGTTGCAAACGATAAAATAAAACCATCTATAAAAGCTAACAGCTAACATCAGCGTCTGCTCCTGTTTGTCACATCTTGTGACACTCTTATTGTTCAGACAGAGTCCTTTTTTAAAGAGTTGCACAGAAACTATAAAAACAAATCAACAACAGAATGGCTTCAGAAGAAAACAATAAGTGTTCTAATCTGAAGTGGCCCAGTCAATGTCCTGGCCTCAACCTGGTTGAGATGCTTTGGCATGAATTCACTCACACCAGACCACCCAGGATTCTCGCCGAACTGCAACAAGTTTTTTTAGAGAGGAATGGTCCAAAAAAAATCATCCTGATCGTTGTGCATGTATGAACTGCATCGACAGGAAATGTTGAGTTGACTTTCTTGCTGCCAAACAAAGCGAAACCAGGAAACGCCAAGGATTCACTTGTTTTTTCTTCCCTTTCCAGTGAATGGGAAAAAATGTGTGGCATTAGTTTAAGCAGATTTTGTTTATTCTTACAATGTAGATGAAGATCTGAACACATTTTATGACGGTTTATTTTCCAGAAACTCAATAAAACTGGAAGGGTGCCCTCCCTTTGTATTTCACCTTAATAATTTCTCAAAACTGGACTACTAATTGAAGACCACTGCGCAAGATTAAAGATCTGGTTCAAACATCTAGTCAGGAAATACCAGTTTATAATGTCAGACTGCTCATTTGATGGCAAATATACAATTGTTTGACTCATAAATTTGTAAATGTGTCCCTCATGTCGGCTCGTAACCTCACCGCAAATTGAAGTGAACAGTTTTTAAGCAGTTGCCCACTGTAGTTTGTAATGCTGTTTACATATTTTCAATATATTGAAAATGTAAGCACATTAATTCAACAACATTGGTCTTGGTAGTGTGTGTATGTTCATCACATTGTATATTAATGACCGGACATCATTTATTTCAGGACCACATTTGGCAGCCTTTTTTGCAAGAACGTGTCAGTGGGTGGCATTGATCACGTTACATTTAAATTGGATTGGCAAAAAATCTTCCAGATGCAGATTTCGGTAAGTCACAAAATGACAATGTGTTCAAGATGTTGTTTTGTTTTGTTTTTTTTAACTCCGGCAATTTTTGCCGCACACCTATTGGTCATTTCATTAGGTACCTCAGCAAAATGATATGAGCACCAAAACATGTGAAGGCACACACCCTGTGAAATTTGTGTTGCAGGATGGCTACTGGGAGTTGAGCACAGAACTGGGCAAGTGCGTCAACGTGGATCTTGACATCTTCGCCGCATTCCTCGAAAGTAAAGGCATCCTCTCCCTTGGTGAGATCCATTTCCTCCCCGGTGTTGTACTGAACATAATTGGCCGAATAGTTAATGTTTCTCATCAATTTCTCTGTATAAATTTCAGAAAAAAATGCCTATTTCCAGAGGTAGATAAAGTCCGAAACATCCTTCTTGAGGATTATTATTTAAAACATTGCAATCAACAAAGTAAAAACAATATTGGTAACATATAATGACCCTTCAAACATCGGCCAAAATAATCAGCCAAACGGCTGATGTTTGTCATTTACAGCAGTTGTACTCAAGCAACCCTGGTTTATGTATTTCATGTAAATTTATGATGTGGGTTCGAATCAGGTCCCGGCCTTT